TTAATTAATATTCCTAATGTATTAACTAGTGGGTTTCAAAAAACCATTGGTTGTCGAATAAAAAATACCCACTATGGAACAATTTTAGGGTTCTCTATGGCTTTAGACCTTCCTTTTCCTAGATTTTTTGGACAACACCAAATATCAAGTTGGTTGTAAAATACATCCCATGAAATATATTCAATACCTTACTGTATTTCTGGTGCTTAGCAGAGAATGGATGGGACTGGGGGTTGCTGGGATTATGATTGATAGTTATTGTGGATCATTCCCTCATTCCCTACTAAGCACCAGTAAGATACACATTAAATCAGAATGGCTGTACGGCTCCATGACCATGTTACCATGTTACGGATCCGACACTTGGCTCCGAAGCTTCTTGAGAAAATAGTATGGCACGTAGGTCCTTAGCGATGAAATTTCAGGGCCAACAGAATGAAGGATGATTTGCCAGCGTCTTCAAAAGTGTGTAGAATATATATATATATACATATACAAACATATGATGTAACATATGAATGGAATAGTATGTAAAATTGATATCTCTATGCACTTAGATTTACATGACATAATTATTTATATATAAGAAATAAACATATGACGCATCATCAACTCAACCGGGTATCTCGGGTCAGCTGTAGACCCATTTATATACCATTAGTCCAATGGATTTTTATGGTATATAAATGTAAACCAGATATGGATATATAAAATGTATATGAATGAATTACATAAAATGTATATATACCAGATATGTATATACCATTATATACTATTATATTGTATATATGCAATTATATAAAATGATATAACAAAAACAAATGGGGATGGCGGGGATGGCCTATAGTCTAACCCTTTTTTCTCGTCGGTTTATCTGGATCTTTTCTTCGGTTTAGCACATGAAAAGTCATGTGTATCGCTCCAATACATTCCGTCCAAGGTGAAAAGGCAGACACTTTCACCATGCATTTCTTGGTGGTTTCCTTGGAGTGGTCCCTGGTTGACAAGTTGACAACTGGTGCGCGAATCAATGTTTGGAACGCCAAACGGCACAAGTTGACTTCAAGGTGATATGATATACTGTACAAGAAAACCTGGTTTGCTGCACAAATCAACTCTGGTATCCACCGAGTTTTGTGCTTAACATACTTCCTTACATTTCCATTGTACCTTGCACTATATTTCCATGTATTTCCGCCATAGAAATCATCTTTTTGGGCCTTGGTATAGCGTTTCTTCACCACGTTGGCATTTCCCCGTGACCGGCGCCATTTCCCTGAGCCCCAGGGATTCCCGGACCCCTTCCACTCCGACAGTTGATACTCGTCCAAGAGTTTCGAGAATTTCATGGATCCTCGGCCACTGGGCAGGGCTTGGGAGGAAGCTTCCATTTTCATCCATGAACTCAGCTTCCAACAAGGTTTCCTGGAGATATCTCTGGAGATATCTCTGGAGATATCTCTGGAGATATCCAGACTTCTGGTGGACTTGTGTGGCTAGAAAATTGGATTCACTTTCATCTTCCAAGCTCTTTATTGTGACACATGAGAAACCACCATTTACATGGCATGGTTGCTGTCCTCGTTGGCCATGGATTTCCACATGGGCCTGGCCCGTAAGGCGACGAACTGACCAGCGCTCCAGGTTACCCTCGTCATCAGGTCCATGGTGAATATCCAGTAGCGAATCATCATGGGATGAATTGCTAATTCATAGTGATTAATAGTGATTCCATAATGATTAAAAAGTGATTAATACCTATTATAGTGATTAATCCCTATTATATTATAGTGATTCATACTATTCATAGTGATTATTCCGGTAAAGTAAAAAGATGTAAAAAGTGATTAATCCGTAATAATCATGGGATGCATTACCGGATTACCCTCTGGTGTCATGAGAACCAAACTGCCATGGCTGGAAAAAATCCCATGTTCTCGCCCGTGCCGCGCAGGAAAGTGGCAACACTGCAGTTTGGGGACTCCAAAATCCACATTGTGGTGCCAAACGATAGCTAAGTTGGTTCATAACTAAGTAGCTTAACATAGCTTAACTACGGTTTGTAGTATATATATAATATTATCATATAATACATAATATATATATAGTATAATATGTGTGGTTCATGGGCTTCATAAACCCTAACTTCTACCATAGGAGGCTTGTGCCACCTCGCACGCATGATCCCACCGAAACATACCGAAACGAGACCCATTCCGACCTGTGGGAGCCGTTGTCGGAAACTGTCAACGGCTGTTGGATTTTTGGTTAATATATGGTTAATATATGGTTAATAGGTTAATATATGTATATCGTTGCTGGTATACCTACCCCTCTGAAAAGTATGAGTTCGTCAGTTGGGATGATGAAGATCTCCCAATATATGCAAAAAACATGTTCCAAACCACCAACCAGTTTAATAGTGTGGCTTTTTGATGACTGGCTCGTGTCTGAACGGGCCTTCGGGTATGTAAAATCCGATCAGGGTCAAACCGCACATGTTTCAAAGCAAACCAGTGCCAAACCAGTGCATCCTTGAAGGCATTCAACTCCTCACACAAAAGAGTAATGTCCAATATCATAGTATTGAATATACATCACCTTTATCCAATATCAATATACAAGCATTTCGAACTTACAAGTATACTTTAAATCAAATGTGTGTGTGTGTTTTACATATCCAACTCGACACCATTTATATATTATATAGACACCAATGTCTGGGACTCCAAGGACGATTTTGCTAAGTGGACACCCCTGGAGCCTCGAAAACGGCCCAACCAACCGTGTCGTGGCGCGGCTGGAATCTGTGAAGTGCCCAGCATTAAGCGAGCGTAACTTGGCAGCTGTTAAATGCTACACAACTGTTTGATAAATGGTATACTATTGTACTTAATAGTGTTTGATATCTAACCAATAGTATACCATTAGTATTAATAGAGATGTTCATCCCAAAATATGGTATAGTGTTTGATAAACACACATCCATACCCATATATGTGAAAATTGCATGCATCATATTCACTGTTGTTGATGTGGTTCAGACTAGGAAACCCTATCATTTGCACGGCCAATGAATGATAATCAACTGCCGTTCCAATTTCCTGAACACTTCAAAACAAAATAAAAATTGGAAATTGAAACAGTCAGGTTCAAAACACAAGTTATTGGAACTTTTAAGAAGCAAAATAGGTTTCCTGAACACTTCTTATTATCCCACTGTTCAACAGTTCAGCTTCACCACGATTTCATCCTTCCCTCCATATCCATCCGGCAGGTCCGCTAGGTCCGGCAGGTCCGGCAGGGGGTAGAGTTACCATTGGCCCTTCATGTACATCCGCACCACTGCGAAGGATTTGCGCGAAGCCGGGTCCCAGAAACCTCGCTGAAGCAGAACCAGGTGGGCTCCAGTTATGATGTTTGTTTATAAAGCCCATGAATAATGTCCATTGATTATAGTTATATCACGTTATACATCCATTAACTATAGTTATATCATGTTTACATCCATTAACTATAGTTATATCATGTTATACATCCAATAACTATAGTTCTATCATGTTATACATCCATTAACTATAGATATATCATGTTTTGCACCCATTAACCATAGTTATACCATGTTATACATCCATTAACTATAGTTATACCATGTTTTACATCCATTAACTATAGTTATATCATGTTATACATTCATTAACTATAGTTATATTTTGTTTACATCCATTAACTATAGATATATCATGTTATACATCCATTAACTATAGTTATATCATGTTTACATCCATTAACTATAGTTATATCATGTTATACATTCATTAACTATAGTTATATTCTGTTTACATCCATTAACTATAGTTATATCATGTTATACATCCATTAACTATAGTTATATCATGTTATACTTTCATTAACTATAGTTATATCATGTTATACATCCATTAACTATAGTTATATCATGTTTTACATCCATTAACTATAGTTATATCATGTTATACATTCATTAACTATAGTTATACCATGTTTTACATCCATTAGCTATAGTTATATCATGTTATACATTCATTAACTATAGTTATATCATGTTATACATCCATTAACCATAGTAATCTCATGTTTTACATCCATTAACTATAGTTATATCATGTTATACATCCAATAACTATAGTTATATCATGTTATACATCCATTAACTATAGATATATCATGTTTTGCACCCATTAACCATAGTTATACCATGTTATACATCCATTAACCATAGTTATAATGATATATCCCACATGAGCCCGAGACAATCAGAAAGGCCAACTTAGCGGGGTCCCCACCTTGTACGAGTAGGATGGAACTACAGTTGTCGTGGACCTTTTTTGCGCATTCTGTAGGAAAAGATACGAGTTGGTGATATTTATAATTATATAATATATAATATTGTGTGTATATATATATGTAATTAGGGTTAAATTTAATTGGAGGTTTCCTGAAATAGGGGTACCCCGAAATCATCCATTTTTGATTGGGATTTTCTATTCTAAACCAACATAAACCAACCATTTAACCATTTTGGGGATCCCCCATTTTTTTTCTCCACCCCCCAATTGGGTTTGTATCAAAATGGTGTACTCCTAAATCCATTGGATTATGATCATATTCCCCAATTAAGATAGTGATTTGGGGGTATACCCTATTTTCAGACACACCTAATTAAGTCTTTATGCAGCATAACGATATGTCCAAGGATGATGTAGGTAGTTGTCCATGCATTGAAGGTATCTGGACTCTTCAACTCGCCAGTGTGAGTTCTAATATATTACTGTCTTAATCAATGTCAATTTCAATGGATTGGTTTCAGTAGGGTTTTCTTTATGGGAAACCGCGGAATTTACCATCAAATATGCATGTTTCCTGCAAAAAAATGCCTTCAACCAACTCTTTGACAAGTGCCAATGGTGATTCAAATTGATCAATTGCCTTTCAGGTACTCCAAGTCCCAAACTGCTCTATTTTGACTGTCTTGGCCACACGTCTTGCAAGTGTCGACGCTGTGACGACGGAAAGGATGTGACATGATGTGACTGACTGGAGAGTCACCAACGATTAAATGATGAGCTGCAGCGAGAAAACTCGGCGCTGGAAAATCACTGTTCTTGCTGTGAGTGCTATTGTGATCTCTGTTCTTTAGTCAACTCACTCTGAGTCCTATTTTGAACAGAGTCATTTCATGCGCAACGGATCAGGTGCGCAAGCCAACCGATAGAAGGCCCAGACACGTCCATTCTGAATCACTTGGATGGTAAAAAAGTGGGAGTTTTTGGTTGATTGGAGTACTTTAAAAAATCCTCCAGGCCTCCAGGCCAGCCTTTTCAGCCTCTTTTGGGGAACGGCCACCAGCTTCGTCACATCTGTAAAGCATGTACAGCTTCGGTGGCAAAGTAGTGCGCCGCGGAGGAATGCGCCAAATCCAGAGCCTCAGAGCTGATGATCTCAGATGATGCTTGATTACCAGAGAGTAAATTGTCTGGCTGGTGGTAGACCTACCCCTCTGAAAAATATGAAAGTCAGTTGGGATTATGAAATTCCCAATATATGGAAAAATGAAGAAAAAAAACAAACTACCAACCAGTTGTCCTGTGTGAAAGACTTACATGGTGAAAAACCGCAGGATTAATTATATAAGTTTCCGATTTATCATGTTGAGTTCATTTTTTGGATCTATGACCTTCACTTCCGCAGGAATAGCATCCTCGTCAATTTGTCCATTTAAATCCCGTTATATACCCAACTAGTCAGTATTACATGAAATCACTGTTTACAGTATTTATTTCATTTTTTGATTTTGTGCCCGCCACCTCATCTTTTGATTTTTGTTGAAGGTTGTGATAATGGAAATTAAGATTCAACAATATATTATGAACAATCTCATAGAAATAATATCCTATATCTATGAGCAAGTAACATTTCCTCAAATATCAATATCCATTCCAAAATCCATGGTTCCTATTCCTATTGCTGAAATCTCCGAAAAAACAAACCTCCATTCCGAACTCCCAAAAAAGCCTGGAATCTCAGCAACATCCAAACAGAATTGCCAAACATCATAGGATCCATGTATGCTATATATGGTAACATTTACCATCAATATACCCCAGTCATGTTAGCATATATATATATATATACCATACATGGATCCTATGGGAAACATCATCCTGAAAATCGTCCAAATCCATCGCCATCTTCCGCATCCAATCCACGGTGCGGCCATCCTCATCCTGCAGGCTGCGATCCACGCGGCGGTTCTTCAGCAGCAGCTCGCAGGCGCCGCGTTCGCCGTTGCCTGCGGCCAGGTGGAGCGCCGTGTCGCCGCGGTCGTCGCGGCAGTTGGGGTCCAGCCGCTCGGAGGCCAAGAGGAGAGACCTGGGGCCGGAGTCCAAGGGGCCAAGATGGGGAAGATCCACGAAAAAAGGTGATTTACTCAGCAGAAACATGGATTTCACATGATTTAACCAGCATAAACATGGATTTGACGTGATTTAACCGGCACAAATTTGGATTTCACATGATTTAACCAGCGAAAACATTGGATTTAATCTCATCATGTTCACCAGGATTTACACCATAAAACGTGCGGTTGATGGTGGATTTATGCCAATTAATTAAGTTGGTTGATAACTAGGCTAACGATTGGATTTACGGTGGATATCTATATATATATATATAAATCAGATGGGGTTGTAAACCAACTTATAATTGGGTGGCCTTCTTGAAGTGGAGTTGTTTGGAAAAAAAAACATGAACCCCAATGATCCCCAATGGGCTTTTTATGATGACTAAGCACTAGATTTCGATGTACACCACGGTACACCATGTTCAAATACATCTACACCTCTGCAATTTTCTCAATTCCTACCATGTTCACAAAGTGCATTTTCGCATTTCGCTACAGCATTTGGAATTGCCGATTCGTATATTCGTCAGATTTCCAATTGATAGGACACACCCATTCCAATTGGGGAAGCCTTTTGGGGAAACTTAGGTCGATCAACATATGTAAAAAACATGTAAAAACCCTGTTGGATAAACCAGCAAAAACCGTATGTCACATCTTGGAAACCTTCTGATTCCCGATTTTTTGAAAACCCTTTCAAGGACAACGGAAAGCCACCCTCGACTCTAGACGTCTCGCGTTGTGTTTCAACGTCCCAGGGACAGAGCTGCGAGGCGTCCCAGCGTGGCGGCGTAGTGGAGCAAGGTGCGGCCCATGATGTCGGTCACGCTGAGGGTCTCCCCATCCGCGTGCCTAGGCCCGGCTCCGAGATGGATCCGAGATGGATCCATGGCCAATCAATCCTAAGAAATTCCATTAAGATCGTGGTAAGATGGTCCATGAATGATCTATACATTATATAATTTTATTTAATTCTATCCATTTATGGTCCATTTGTGATAATTAAGGACTAAATAGTTGAATGGATACATGTATTTGAAGGTACATGGAGCCAAGTA